TTTAAATATGCATGTGAACTTAGATGATGAAATATAGTAATTGAAATAAAAGCGGACAGATACTATTTTTGTTTACAAGTACTTAAAGTATCGATTTGACTTATAAAAAGCAATGCAAAAAAAATGCAATACATATCGCGTGATCACGTGTCAATGCTAAATTTGATCCTTATCTAAACTGTCATTTTTACCACATAATAAATTACTGGTGCATTTTCTTGTTCAATTATACATACCCCTCTGAATGCTAAACAAAATTATAATTCAACTAAGCAATGGTATCATTGAAATTAAATGCAATTTTCCCAAACAATGAAGCAAAATATCCCCAAGCTTTTGTTTGGATCCGGCCTTTATCAATAAATCTGTTCCATGCGAACAATTTTCACGAGTCGATTCCTTTAGGAATATTAAAATTACATCAAACAAAATTCCTAAAAATAACCGTCCACTACTGTATACAAATCAAAAAATTTAAAATAACTTACAGTAATTGACTTATGTTGTCTTGAAATTTCCTGCCGTATGCCACTGTATACAACATTTTATTTATATGCTATCCAATGTCGTCGTCCAACTTTGGGAATTTGCTTTTAAACAGCCGTTACATTTGGCGATCCGAGCAAAAATTGAATTTTAACCTCTAAATCTTCGCCAATATAGAATAACATTTTTTTAGCACTCAAGTTGTTCGTGTGCGTCGTGTAAACTGAACCTGTCCGCGCCCGACGCGACTCTTCCAGTTGGGTGACAGAATTTGTATCAATCCACTTACGTTTAATGTTAGTTTAGTGCACTGCTATGTAACAATGGCACCTCTAAAGTGGGGCACAAATTAGAGTATGAAATTCGTCGAATAGTATAAGAGGAAAGAGTGTTTATGCAAACAATTAATTGAGCAACAGAGATGATACATCCGTCTTCTGATCCATTCTTTCTTCTTTTCCAACTCTTCCTGGGGCACACCACAAATGCAGTAATAAAATCGTGACATAATTTGTAAAGCACTGTATTTATGTCCTCAGAATTGTTATGGACGTCATTTTATATCGTGAATTTGAAATAAGAATGACAGATGGCATTAGAAGGCACACTCATCTGTTTCACTTTATCTACCCTTGCGGTTAAAGTGATCACTTTATCTATCCTTACGGTTAAAGAACGGCTTAGCTACTCATTCAAACCTATTAAAATGTCATTTTAACATATGCTATAAATAAAGATTATTATTAATGTCACTAATTCGTGCAGAAAGGGTTAAATTCAACCAAAAAATGGAAGGCTTGGAATTTCACCAGAATCGGCGTTATCGCCACGATGTTCCGATGCAAAATATAAGAGGAAGAACCCACCAAGTCCGGGTCCAGGTTTTACCCACCAAGTCCGAGTCCGGGTCCGGGTTTGACCCAGGCCCTATTTTATTAAAGGAGATTGCTTTTCAGGGCTCACAATTCGTTCGGGTGCTAAACTAATCTACTATTTTACTCTTGATAAACGATTAAGGTGGTCAATGTTAATACAAGAATAGCAAATGAAAGTAAATTAAAATACGTGTTAAAGGGGCAGTGCAAAGGTAATAAGAAAACTATACCTAATTGTGAAGCATGACTTTTCAAATAAAATAATCGGTAATCCGTATCCTGAAACAATGAAATATGCTACGTTTTCAGTTTTATTGAAACGTGAAAATATGGATTGTTGAAACAGTTAATCGTGTGCTTCTGAGGTTATAAAACAAAGCAACGTTAAGTGAATAGCAATGTAAAGGTAAAATGATTTTAGCAATACAAAGCAAATCAAATGTAGTTAACTTTCGTATTGTATGTTCTGAAAATAACAAAACACTTCGGCCGGTAAATTTTAGTCAGTTCTCTTTAATTTGAAATAGCTAAAGAAAAGTTTATTGTGGTAATAATTGTTCATAAATAAGCATAATAAGCTTGAAGCAACTGCTTGAGGTACGAATATAAGCGTCTAAATTTAACTAAAAACAAGATATGTGGAAATTACTAATCGTAACTCATTTATCGCACATAGATTCTAAACTGAAGAGCCTTGATTAACATAATCTCGCCCCCGCAAGATAGGTAGCGTCACCCCTTGTTCGGGGTTTCGAGCCTACAGTTGAATATCGAAAACAATCACGGAATTAGGTCTCGTAGCTCAATTTTGACTACAGTTTTTACCACCCCCGTGACTGCTTTATTCACGGAGAATATGTTAGTTACAAACAACGAGTCAGTACATACATCAAACGAATCGGTAATTTCCACACATTAAAATAAAATGATCAAAACTTATATGAATGTTACTTGAGGGACAAGATCAAAAAATCAACATCAATAAACATAAATTAAGCAAGCATTACACCAAAAACGTAAACAATTACAAACAAAAAGGATAACGGTATTAAACATGTTATTCTGCATTACGGTTAAACCAAATAAATTTCAAAAACAAAGATTGAAACACAAAAAAATATAAAATGCGGGATACAAAACACAAATACGATATAAAGAAATGCAAAAATTACTACCTGCATTAAATAACACAAAATAACAACAAACATTTATACAGCGACGCGTTCACGACCGCCATTCAAGACAAGATGCCAAACCCCCGTTCGTGCTTCCCTAGATGGCACAGGCAGCTTTTACCCATCTAGAAGTTACATGGTTGCCAATTCTCAAAAATGTATGTATCGTCGTAAGTCGTATAATATACAAGGTGGAACCTTTATTATTGTTATTGTTATGGATAAATTGATAACATTAAGGTATTTAGTAACATCTTTTCAGTTTCAAAACGGCATTTTGTTAAACATCAAAATACGCAACTTTGCCAAATTTAAACAACCTACCTACCTACAATTTCCGAGATCCCCATGGCGGCCCTCGAACTTGAATCAGCCGATATAGGCTTCGACAGTGGACATATTTGCTTTGATACAAAACCAATATTCAGTTACTACATGGCAAAGGGCACCTAAAAGAATCGATTAGTAATATCAGCAAAGATGGCTTTTTCTAAGACACATAAAGAAACAGTACATAATACCCTGCCAAACATTGTTTAATATTCATAATTACCCGGTTCAAATAAGTAGTAGAAGGAGCATAACGTTAATTATCACATTACAACAAAAAAAGGGAACATGTGGCAAAATATTAGAGTAAAGTGATTAATTTTCAATGCCAAGTGCAGTTTGTAACAATCTTGACCTAACCTAGGTCACTCGCCCCCAGATGAAACACCATGTAAATGCAATAAATTCAATTATAAATCAACAATTTATATGTCGATGTTTCAAAATATAGCGCCTTCCACGAATTGCTATAAAATTTGCTGAACTCAACACAATCATATAATTACTGGATGGATTCAATGAACGAAAAAAAGAAATACATCACCTAAGTAATTGATTGTCGACCTCCACAGTCACTATTCGAAACATAAACTAAACAGCCCCAACATTCCCTTTAAGCAAATGGTGGAAGAAAATAGTTACTATCGACGCTCTCAGAGTCGTCAAATCGATATGTATCATTAACTTCCCTCGTATAGCGTTATGTTGTGGACTTTTATTGTATATTATGGCCTATTTCAATGTAGGGCAGAGGAGAAAAAAGACACGTGTTCCACTGGTCCTTACAGTTGAATTAAATTCAATTTGCACTGGTCCGTTAGACTGGTAACAATTAAAAACAATTAAAACGAGACTTGAACCCTAAAAGAAAATCAAAGGTAACTCTCTTCGTTGATAACCTCAAAATGTACATACCTTTTTAATAAGAGGTCTAATTATGGAAGAATGCAACAATCGTCGTTGAAAAAGGTTTTAAATGTCAGCTGAACCTAAAGAAACATACACTTCAAGTAATGCAAGTGGCGGGTACTTATGATGAGCAAGAAAAAACCCATTTATAATATCCTCACAAATCGGAGTTAAGGGTAAATCCGTCCAAACAATATTGCCGGAATTCAATACCCAAAGATTTATAGCATATGGCTGGCGGAAATTAAAATTCCATGCGTTTTCAAACTAACGCTTCCGCCGCCGTTTAATTAAAATGAAGTGCACTCAGAGCTTTCAAACGAAAGAGGAAAATGCATGTGAACAATCGATAACCACTCGCAGCGCCGTAAAATGCGCGCTAAAATTGGGTGTTTAAAATTCCAACGATAGATGGAGTCGTACGTCTCTTAGAAGTTTACGATTGTTACGAGGATCTTTCGATAAATAAATATTGATTGCTTTGTAATGATGAAAATAAACCGTGACAAACTAAACCAACTTACTCAAAAATATCAAAATTGGCATCTCTCTTGGAGTCTCTCTTCATTTGTGAAAAGTAGAAATGAACTTTCTTCCGAGTTAAAGCAGCAGCTTTTGGTACAAATGGACATTCACAAGTACTTGAAGCTACTATTATTAACGCTTACATTTATTGTTATTGTTGATTATTATTTAGACACGTAAATATAAATAAGATGGGTTCACGTTTAATTAACGTGAGAATATCCACATTTCATATACATCTTAATTAAATGATAGATTTTTTGAAAGCGAAACATTTCAAAATTGATGTTACCATACTCATAAAAAAGTAATCTTTGACATTTTTGATGGGGCCGTTCCTATACACGCATTAAACATCAAATCAAAAACATTCCTTTGAGCACATTAGTTCACAGTCAATCCAGCCGTGAATAAATAAATTTCATATTTCGAATTGAACTTGTGTAGATATAATGGTTACATCTACTCCACATTCTCCCTTTGGAAGCACGAAACAAAGCAAAATTTTAATGATGATCCGGTTTCCCCTCTTTTTAATTACAGTAATGTGCATTATTATCTTAATGAGATCTCCAAAGCTTTGGTAAAATAAAAGGTGGCTAAATTTTAATTAGATTATTGCTAACGACAATGACCATAATGATTGTACCTATACGAGTGTGAGTTTATCTTGGCACTAAAAACCTTCTTTTTGTTGCAGGTTCGATGCCCGGAGGTCCCGGGGTTCCGGAAAATATAACCGTTACTTTTCTTAACCCTACTTCTGTTCGAGTTTCCTGGTCTACATCTGTTGATAACGTGTACAAGTACGACGTTACGTATAAGCCAACCGATGCCAGGTGGGTTCGATAAACTAAGCATTTTGACGCGCGGAAGTTTCGATACTATTAACCGATCGGCTAAGAATTTTTCGTTTTTCTGCTACAATCTATACCCACTTTTACAAGCACGCAACTACTAAATTATGGAATATAACAATATTACCCACCTACTTCCTCTTATAATAGAGAAATATGTAAGGGTATCAAGTTTGAATCTTTGACTGATTAGTATAGGGATTACGTTCCCGGAAATGGGGAAGCACACGCTTCTATACCCTAAATAAATTCGTTTACTTGATTAAACAACCTGTGGCTAAACAGTTTGAAGTAAATAACGCAATACGTAGGTACTCGCATCTGATATTGATTAATTTAAAGCTATAATGCCTAGCTATTTCTCATTAACTATATTACGTACTACAATCACAGATATGCATTACCGTAATGTATTTCTGCTTTCATTGCATTAGGCCAGCCAAAGGTAATTGAAAAATCCTGGATTAAGCGACGATATAACGTCCAGTAAATAAAATATTCATTAGTAGGTCTATTGATAGTAAACTCAGTTCTTGTCATTACTCATGCATGTTGAAAAAAAATGGCGTACCTATTTCGAGCTATTTCTGGTTCCGATACGGTACTCAATTACGATGTGATTAGGAATTTCGCTAAATTATCCACTCATCTCGTAAAAGCGTGCGTTTTGCGGTGTAGGAAACAGGCGAGTTGCCGAAATAGAATCGGAAGTATTAAAAGCGCTGCGTGTTTGCATGTTTATTTTTAGAGATAAGGATTAAATGGCATTTCTTCTGTTGTACTCGCCGACTTTATTAGTTTCTAATGGCAATCGTATTTTTATTGTGGGCTATTTAAACATTTAGAAAAAAGGTAAAACGTTATGTTGCGGAAATGCTGTCGTAATCACGTTGTGTGCTCTAATTATCTTGGCCTTTATCAGCAATGTTCAATTATTAGTCCCTAATACCCCCAGTTAGTACCTTTAATTTGTTCTTCATCGATACCGCTTATAAAGATTTCATTAAACCGATAAATTCGCAACCCAACTGGCATCTGTCACAGACAGAGCACTCCTTTAGTTCATATTGTGTAGGTGATTAGTGATATGGTATTTATTTACATGATTAAGTCTGCAGTTTTCCCAATCGTCCGATCTCTCGCTCGCCCATCCGTCCGTCCGCTCGCTCGAACGTCCGCTCGGTCGCTCGCTCGATGGCTTAATGTCCATCAATTTGAAAGACAACGGATGGACCGATTACGATGAAATTTTGCAGGTGGATTCTTTATCAAATTTGTAAATTGGAGTTTGTGAATTGACAATGTAGGCCTTTTAGGCACCTCTGAATCGCATTGCATAACATTCAAACTGGGCATAGCTTTAGCGATATAATACGCAATGCGATTCAACATTTACAGTGCATTTTTGTCATCTCGGCCATTTATGAACTGAATTGCATGAAATTCAAACTGGACATAGCCAGTACCATATCAAACGTAATGTCACCGCTTTGGCACTTTTGATTATGTATCTTCAGGGTAGCTTTACTCGTTCATGCTCTAGTGTTAGCATATTCAAATGTCTTATCCAAGAACAAGTCCCGCCATGGTGGCGGCCTCCGCTAACAACCCGGCGCTAACCAAGGTGCCACGAGCGTCATCCATTGAATCTAATATGATTATGAATATGATTATTATATCGTGCGTCTTAGGGTCTGGTTTGATCACGCTCAAATAAATACTCATATAGATTGGCTTGTTTGAATATACCTACTAATGAAAAATACGATTGTTTCAACTCCAAATTTCCTTACATTCTTTGGTTTGATTTAAAAGATTGAGGTACTTCAAGTAACAAATTACAAATTACATTTTTAATACCTGTATAGTGATCACGTTTTCAACCTAAGTAAATATCAGGATCATCTGGTCGAGATTCTTATTCAAAACAAATTTACACGCCTCCTGGATGCTAAATAAAAAATTTACAACTCACACCTAAGACTGGCATTACTACACTTGAAGTTCTAAATTTACCATTAATGAAAAATTGAAATTACTACTTGGTCTGAATGTACTTATAGTTTATTGGGTTTTCTCTGAAAGTCTTTGGAAACAGCTCCGATATTGATAATTCTTTTTTTGAAATTTTGTTGTTTTATATTGTTTAAAATCAGAAACCGGAGTCCACAATCCTAGAATTGGTTGGACGCAGTCCTCCACCCTTTCCCATCCTGCGCTAATCTTTTCACTTCTACATAGCAACCCTTGCCTACGTCCTTATACTATTTGGTCCATGTATCTCGGTCATCCTACCCCCCTCTCTTGCCTCTGTACTACCTTCTATAACTAGCTGTACTAATCCTCCGTGTCTGAGCACGTGCCCTATCATTATATCTCGTCTTCTCTGTACGGTTTTCCACATTTCCCTATATTTTCCCGTACTAGCTCCAAGACTGCTTCGTTTGTTACCCTATCTATCCATTCAGCTAATCCTCATTAACCTTCTATGGCACAACATTTCGAATTCTTCTATCCCACTTTTGTCTTCCCTGCCTATCGTCCAGGTTTCGCACCCGTAATAGAGCTACACTCGTACGTTTTTAGTAGCCTTTCCCGAATTTCTATAATTATCTTGGATCTTAGCAGATCTAGATTTTGTTCAAATGCTTTTTTAGCCTGCGCTATCCTGGATTTTATATCTTCCTTGCTACCGAATTAACAAAATTCCTTTACATGCTTTAAAGTGTCGTTTCCTATTCGGATCTTTATCTTTTTCCTATCCTCTCTTTTAGAGCATTTTATTACTTTTGTTTTTTACTTGTGGATTTTCGTACTGTAGCCTCTTTATTCCCTCCATACCGCTGAACCGCCTGTTTCACTTATCGCTCGAGATCTCTGAAATGTCATCTGATTAATTGGATGATTTTCACTTTTCTTTTCATTTTTGTTAGAAAGGTTGCCGATTTACTAATAAATGGTCACAATACTAAATATTTCGCGTTACCCAAAAAACGGAGTCTGGTATTGCTACCTCCTGTTGATGTTCGGGTAAGTTTTCACCTTGGATCTGGGCGTCCCGGGTGCTGTTGCCTTCCTGCTCGGTGTCTGGTACCAGCGCAGTGCAAATGGTCCACATGTCGCTTCTGTACGCGTCCTCTCCCGTATATACTTTCGCAGCTTCCTGGACCTAACTGTCATACAATCTTCTCCTCCTGGCGTCCAGGCTCGTTGTCGTGTTGTTCTCGGTTCGGCCAGGGTCATCTTCTCTTGGTGCTCTCGCATTTTCTATGTTAAACTAAGTCATAATTGACCCAGACACGTGCGAATCTTTTGTTTGAAGAGTAGCTCCGACGGAGAAAACTGCTGTTGGTTTAATGTGTTGTGTTAATAAAACTCTTAACGATAAAATGCGCCTGTGTTTTTTATCTTGAAACTAATTAGCTGACGTCGTGATAACAAAACTTCTTATCTACGTCCGGAGATCTTTAAATCCCCTCTTTTAACACGTAATAAAAGTAAACAAATAAATAAAATACAAGACGATTATTTAACCCAAATTGACAACTAATAATCCTAATACAACACAATATTGACCTCGAATGTGTACTAATATGAACGAATCTTGTGTCCAATCTCAGATTACAACCAACTCTTAACGTTAAAAATAATTGAAATGCACATACAGGGTGAGCCATCGTTACTTTAGATGCTGAGACCTAAATAAAACGTCCGAATGGCCATATATTGGATAAACAAAAAGATCCTTCGATTTTTTATTATATTATTAGGGCATTTCCACAAAAATTAAAAAAAAATGCGCTATTGTGGCCATTGTGGCCACTTTGTCCGTCCGTCCGTCCGTCCGCTCGTTTTGCGACGCCTAGTTCTTTATCTTAAGAGCTATTGTTCTACTTTTTTCGCTATTTGGTTCGTTATGGTGTCGAGTCTTGTACCAAGGAAGGAATTTTTTCTGTACCGCTTACAAAAAAAGTTATTGTAAAAAAAACAAAAAAACGTTTTTTACATGTTCCATAATTTTACACTTTTGCCGTTTATTAACGATCCTAGAGATCGTTTATAATTTTGCATTGCTATCTGTCGCCTGCCGGTTTGTCTGTCCGTCTGTTCCTTTGTCTGTCGTCCATCTATCTGTCCGCGATCAGGAACGATAACTTTGGTTTAGAATATTGTCGATCGCTTCTTACATCTCCCTGTTAGCTTTATGACTGAATTGCATGAAATTCAATATGGCGCATAGATTTAGCCATATAATACGCAATGCCAAAAGTTGAATCGAATCGATTCAAAATTCACAGTGCCCTTTTCGCATCTCGACCATTTATAACCGAATTGCAAACTTTTTTACTTATAAAAGTATTTGAATGAAATTTGATACATAGGCACTTGGAATAAAGGAAAATCAAACGCCAATTTCAAAATTTGGTTTTGCGCATGCGCAGTGCCAACTTTTTTATTTATGGAAGAATTTAAACGAAATTTGATACATAGGCACTTGGGATAAAGGAAAATCAAACGCCAATTTCAAAATTTGGTTTTGCGCATGCGCAGTGCCAACTTTTTTATTTATGGAAGAATTTAAACGAAATTTGATACTAAGCACTTCGAATAAAGGAAAATCAAACGCCAATTTCAAAATTTGGTTTTGCGCATGCGCAGTGCCAACTTTTTTATTTATGGAAGAATTTAAACGAAATTTGATACATAGGCACTTGGGATAAAGGAAAATCAAACGCCAATTTCAAAATTTGGTTTTGCGCATGCGCAGTGCCAACTTTTTTATTTATGGAATAATTTAAACGAAATTTGATACATAGGCACTTGGGATAAAGGAAAATCAAACGCCAATTTCAAAATTTGGTTTTGCGCATGCCCAGTGCCAACTTTTTTATTTATGGAAGAATTTAAACGAAATTTGATACATAGGCACTTGGGATAAAGGAAAATCAAAGGCCAATTTCAAAATTTGGTTTTGCGCATGC